TCACTCTTCTTCCTGAGAAGTTTCAAGATACCACTGTGGGTCGTTTTGATGTAACTTAGGATTTAATTTTCGGCCTATTTCCTCTTTTGTCTGCTTGTCCTGCTCCACAGTGCCCGTTCAGGACTTGTTTCTAGTTGGAAACAGTTCAGGGCCGGTTGTGGCCGTTTGGTTTTAATTGGAAACTGTCTCTTTAAATTTCGAGATCTATGCGCATGCGTAGTAGAACCCTCGGAGCGTGGAGCTGGGTTGCCCACTAGCTCTGGCACCCCAAAGTCACCAGAATGGAGGTGCGCAGACAGCAAGGGACCAATGAACAGCTACCAAAAGAGAAGAACGTCCACACCTTTATCTCAGCGGTTCTGCCAAGCGTCTGTGGCCGCTCTGATCCTTCCCCCATGTGGTCTCACCCAAGATGGTGGCTCCTGGAGCAGCTGAGCTTCCCGGACTAGAAAGCAATAGATTTCTTGCTTCTGCCATAAATTCCCCCAGCTGTGAGCCTTCCAACCTTCTAAGTATTCCTTTATATGTAGTTCAGAGTTCTGGGACCATCCCCTGAGCCTGCTTGGTCGGGTATTCTGTGTTGTTGTTGGCGGAGCTCTCTGCTATACATCCACCCGATCCGCCATCTTGTTTGTTCTCTTACCATAGCCTTTTAAGTGTGAAATGGTAAGTGCCATCGAGTCAATTCCCATTCACAGAGACCTTGTATTGGGTTTCCGAGGAGCAGCTTTTGGGTTTGAACCACCGGCCTTGTGGTTAGTGGTCCAGTGTTTTATACTATGGGGTTTCTGAGGAGCAGCTGATGGGTTTCACCCACTGACCTTGTGGTCAGTGGTCCAGTGCTTAACCTTTAGCACCACACTACTATGAAAAAGTTTGAAATACTGAAAAAATGTGACACAAACAACATGTAATGAGCATATGCTGCTGGAAAAATATTTAGCTTTACTCGACACAGGGTTGTGATGAACCTGCAGTTCGTAAAAACTGCAATGTCTCCAAAAGGTCTGCCTAAACTGAAAAAACATTCTCCCTGAGATTTCATAATCTCAAGCTAGGCTTCATTCATCTTTGCAGCCATTTCACACTGCCTGCACGTGGCTCAAAATAGAAACCGTAAGCCAAGAATTAAAAATAGACCCACACTGGGGGTGCATACTAGTATGTGCCAGAAACAAAAGCAAAGATCTGTAGGTCACCCCTGTCAGGAAGAAAGACTTAGGATGGATGACAAAAATACTTGAGCTGTCCAGTATGACAGCCATTATGCATTGAAATGTGGCTGGTGACTAAGGAAATGACCTTCATTAATTTTTTTATATGTTAAATTGTATTAATTTAAATAGTCATATGTAGCTAGTGGTCACTATAGTGGACACAGCACCTTTAATCCAGGTCTCAAAGAATTCCCACAGGTAAATTACAAGATTAGACAAGATCCACAAAGAAACAAAACACCTTGAGAAAGAACAAGTAGAAGCAGCAGAGATCAGCAGAGACTTCAGGAATTAGAAATGCTACAAAATGCAAACTACAATGACAGCAGATTAGTGAGCGCCTGGAGACGGGGGGTGTGGGGGGACGGATTATAAAGGAGGGTGAGGAACCTTTTGGAGGCAAAGGCTTTGTTCACAGTCTTAATTGTAATGGTTTCATGCGTGTACAGGTATGTCAAAACATCAGATTATATGCTTTAAATATGTATAATTTATTTTATTTCAATTATACCTTAATAAAGCAGTTTAAAAGGAGCTCTGGTAGTGTAATGGTTACGAATTGGGCTGAGAACCGCAAGGTCAGCAGTTCGAAACTACCATACCAGCTACTCCACTGGATATAGATGAGGCTTTCTGCTCCTGTAAAGATTACAGCCTCGGAAACCCTGTTCAGGGTCGCTATGGGTCGGAACTGACTCGATGGCACTGAACAACAACAAAGCAGTTTAAAAATGTGTTTGCCTCTTGTAAATATTTTTTTTCTCACAGATCATCTTCAAAGAGAAAGAAAAAGCTCTGTCTAAACATCATACTTAGGCCTTGTTACACATCTACACAACTTATCAATATTTACTAAATACCTGCTAGTTTCTGTGGGTAATACCAATATGAATCAGATTCACCTTCTGCACTCATGAAGCACGTAATCTAATTAATAGACTAATTGTTGTTAGTTGCTTTCAAGTTGGAAATGAAAAAACTTCTTTTTTTACATGATTGTCACAAAGATCCTTACCAGAAATGTATCCCTCCCAGTGATTACGTATCAACTGCTCCATGCAGCCCAGAACCCTGCTCCACACGTTGTCAAACACATACGCAAGGACATCCTCTTTCATGCAGTAAAATGGAGCAATGGGAGGGTGCCCTAATTTCCGTTTTTCTGGAGTCACTTCTGATTTTGTTCCATGAAATTCCTCATCTCTGTGACAAAAGCAAGAGGGAAAGTAAGTGCTCACCATTGTTCCTTATGTTTCTGAAGCGTGATTTGTGCTCTCCTCCTGCACCAGCCTCTGTACCACATGTATGACGTCACCTTGTGGACTAAGGCAGTTCTCTATTGAGATGACTGCATTTCCCTCTTTATTTCTACCCCATTCCTACTACTTTCCCAAAAAAATAGAATAAGAAGGCTGAGAAGCACAGTAAGTGTTTTTAGGTTTACCAGATGAGCACTGTCAACTGAGCAAAAAGCTATGACAATTTTTTGTTGTAACTGGATAAAATTTATATGATTAATGTAACACATTAATGATGTCCGTATGTTACCAACACTGCTGTTGTTAGGTGCTGCTGAGTCGGTTGGGACTCACAGTATCCCTGTGTACAGCACAAGACACTGCCCAGTCCTGTGCCTCCTCACCATCTGCTATGTTTGAGCCCACGGTTGCAGGCACTGTGTCATTCCATCTCGTCTGAGGGGCTGCCTTTCTTCCTTTCACTGATCAAGCTACTTTACCAAGCATTATGTCCCTCCTGGTAACATCCAATGCATATAAAAATCTCACCATCTTCCCTTATAAGGATCAGTTAGACGCTACTTCTTATAAAGACAGACTTCTTCATTCTTCTGACTGTTGTTAAGGGCTGTCGAGTCAATTCCAATTCATAACAATCCTGTATAGGGTTTCCAAAGAGCAGCTTGGTGGGTTTGAACTGGCAACCTTGCAGTTAGCAATCCAGTGCCACACCAAGGCTTATCCTACAGTGCCACACCAAGGCTTCTGGTAGCCCATATTGTATTCAATATATTGGTCTATTTTTTGTCAACACCATACATAATTCAAAATGCATCAATTCTTCTCCAGTATACCTTACTCACTGTCCAGCCTTTGCATGCACATGAGGCAACTGGAAATACAATGGCTTGGGTCAGAAACACCTTAGTCCACAAGGCAGCATCTTTGCTTGTGAACACTTTTAAAAGAGGTTTATGCAGTAAATATTTCCAATGTAATACATCATTTGATTTCCTGACTGCTGCTTCCACATGGGCACTGGTTATGGATCTAAATAAAATCCTTGACAATTTCAATCTTTTCTGTTTATCATAATGTTGTGAGGATTTTTTCATATATATATGTTGTTGCTGTCATGTGCCGTGGAGCCGGTTCCGACTCATAGTGACCCTATACAGTGTTTCTGAGGCTGTAATCTTTACGGGAGCAGAAAGCCTCATCTTTCTCCCACGGAACAGCTGGTAGTTTCGAACTGCTGATCTTGAGATTCACAGCCTGATTTCATAACACTGCACTACCAGAGCTCCATATATATATATATGTAAATAAGTTCATATGCCATTGAGTCTGTTCTGACTCATCGTAACCCTGTGAGTGGCTGGTGAGCGTGCACTGCCAACCCTGCAGTGCAGCACATTAACTCTCAGGGCCACACCAGGACTCCATGTATATATATGTAAAATTATATACACGTATAATTTTATTCGCTGACTTCTTTGAAACAGGCCAAACATTTGTATTAACAGTGGTACTTGCTACACCAAAATGTTGCTTAACACGACAAATTTCACCCTTGAGGAATAAACATGTGAAAATCACATTTCGGTGATAAAATTCAGGTTACAAATAAAGCTAAATATTAAGTAATATCATAAACTGGGTAGGGGTGTCAATAGAGTTTTGCAAAGATCTAACAATTCCAACACTCTCTAGCCTTTTGAGAAACATTAGACTGGAAATATGTAATAAATACTTCTGTAATATGGTGGTTTCAGCCCTTTAAAGATCATTCAGTTTATCCATGCACAGCAGTTTTGATCACTGAAAAATGGATTCAGAGTAAGTCATAGTTTAAAAAGCAATGACTCTCCATATCCCTTATATTAAAAAATATAGTTTAAAAAGAAAAGTTTAAGGTAAAGCACACTTGTTTTTCAAAATAATTTTTAGGTATAATTGAGATGCGTTGTTAAGTGCCATCAAGTCAGTTCTGGCTCATTGTATATATAGGGTTTCCAAGGAGCAACTGGTAAGTGTGAACCACTAACCTTGTGGTTAGCAGTCTAGTGCATAGTCTACAATGCCATAGCAGACTTCCATTGAGATTACACTACAATACATAATTAGAGCTCACTCACTCTCATGGACCAATTTTTAGCCAAGAGGTAGACGGGTATATAGGGGGGACAACAACACTAGTAAAGTATGCTCACATGGGACAGTCAATCACTGAAGATCAGAAGGGCAACACTGACCTAATAACAAAGTTGAGAAGGAACGGGAAGGTGGGTGGAATGGAAACAGGAAGCACAGGGTGGAAACAGGATAACTCTTGTTACATGGAGGGGATTGCAATCATTGAGATGAAACAAAAGGTGAGATTTGCTGAATGTAAAACTGATCGTGTCTGTAAACCTTTACTAATTCAAAGAAGCCACAGTGAATGCAGAAGTAAGTGCCACAACACGACCTATACATGAGTACAAGCCCACAACCTCACTAAAAGCTCACTTCCTTCCAGTGGTGCTGCTGTGACTATCAACCGAGGAACTTGTAAAGCTTAAAGGACTAGCCTAGGAGGTAAATGTTTCAGAAAGATGCCATGGCATAGTGAAGAGAACAAAGGATTTAGATCCTATGAATAAGGTATGATTTCAGCTTAACCTCAAAAAAAAAATCATTTAATTACTCCTCTTTTATAAAGAGGGCAATTAATATCTACATCACAAGACTACTGTCAAAACACAAGAATGGATATAAATAAACTTTATTAATTATAAATTCTGTGCCAAGTAAAAGGTTTCATATAAACTTATGTATAGGTGGAGGATCGGAGAAAAAGAGGAAGACCCCCCAACGAGATGGATTGGCCAAGTGGCAGCATTGATGGACTCAAGCGTGGCAGCAGTAGTGAGGTTAGCCCAGGATCGGGCAGTGTTTTGTTCTGCTGTGCATAAGGTTGCTGTGAGTCGGTACCGACTCGATGGCACCTAACAACAACAACATACTGCATATTCCTTTATTCAAGCAGGGTTTATGTTACTGAAGCTCACATTTGTCAACTACTGTTTTAATGAGTTTTAGAGTTTGAATTACTTTAACTAATTTGGGGGTGGCAGTGGTGTGTTGTGGAGTTGGTTCCAACTCACAGCGACCCTTTATAGGGTTTCCAAGGCTGTAAATCTTTATGGGAGCAGAAAGCCTCATCTTTTTCCCACGGCATAGATGGTAGTTTTGAACTGCTGACCTTGAAGTTAGCAGCCTGACTTGAAACCACTATGCTACCAGAGGTAATTTAGTTAAAGAAAAATAATCTCAGTGTAAAACCTTTAATACCAGGAAAAAACATGTGAAAGAAGAAAATAAGCAAACCTAGTATGCAACAGGAATTTGATTTGACTAAGAATATGGATCCTGGAAGGTACTCTTCACAATTAACCGTATGCGATCAAAAGGGCAGCACCTGCCCCAAACAAGAGTTCAGAAGGCAGGAAGGGGCAGGAACGAAAGATGAATATGGCAACCCAAGGGGAAGGGGGACGAGTGCGGTTACATTGAGGGAACTGCACCGAAAGTTGTAAAACAAAATATAAATTGTTGAATGGAAAACTAATTTGTTCTGTAAACTTTCATCCAACCCACAATAATGAAAAAAAAAAAAGAATTCTGGGTATCTGCGAAGTACCAGAAAATAAACATCTGAAATGAATATAAATCTAATTATAGGTAATATTGGTAGCATGTTTAGTGGGGTGGAGAAAGGGGGGAGACATTAAAGATATTTATACAAAAAATGCAAAGGGAGTCAAGAGCTTAGAAACACTCCATTCTACTCACATGTCTGTGTGGTCAAATGCTAGGTATTCCTCTATTATTCCTTCTGAGAAGATTATATACTCTTCCTCTTCTGCTCTTTCCACAGAACACAAGCTAGGAGATTTGGCAATGGAAGATGCTTTATGACCATATGATGACAACTGTACCTTCTTTCCCCTTACACCAAATCTGGAAGAAGGAAGAAGCAGGTACAATTCTGTCCAACCTTAGTTGTTCTCACAGCCACATAGTTACTTGAGTTTCAGTTCAAATCCCCTTGGTCCTGGTGACACCATCCTGAACAACGGAAAACCTCCACTGTTTCTCAGAGCTTGACTGCTTGCTATTTTTCAGTTGCAACACATATAATTTAAAATTAAAAAAAAAATACTAAGGATTTTTACATTCATAATTACATCTTTAAGGTATCTCATAGTACATGTGCTTACTTTTAACTCCATCACTGCTCAAAATTCTTGCTCCTTAAGGGCAATTAGATTTACATTTAAATTTCTCTCCATATCCATCTATTGAATGGCTGGATATATGATGAGTCATTTAAACAAATGTATTTTGAAAATAGTGAAATCTGTGCAATGCAATTTTTAAAAACAACTCTCAGCTTAACCAAATATTCAGTATAACCAATCTGTACTTTGCATTATTCTTTATGATTTTTTGTGTCTTAATTTTATTTTTGTAAATATGGAAAAATGAGTAAACATCTAGCACTTTTATCAATGGCTGATAGGAAAATCTTCCTAAAAGACATTTTTGAAAGTCATGTTTGTTGTTGTTAAGAGCCTTCGAGTCAGTTCTGACCCATAGTGATCCTGAATAGGGTTTCCTAGAAGTGACTAGTGAGCTTGAACTGCCAAACTTGGGATTCAAATTGACTTTGCAGTCCAGCACATTAACTCACAGCGCCATACCAGGACATACATGTTTGTTCCAGTGGGTTACATGATGGGCTGCTAACCTCAAGCTCAGCAATCTGAAACCACTAGCTGCTCCAACAAGACAAAGATGAAGCTCTTTACTCCTGTAAAGAATGACAGTGTGGGAAATCTAAAAAGGGCAGTTCTAACCTGTGCAGTGTTGCTAAGGGTAGGAATTAACTCAGTGGCAGTGAGTGGTTTTTTTTGGTTGGTTCCAGTGGCTTCATCTATGGAGATTTACTTGGAAGATATGAACTATAAGACTTAGCTGTAATAATTATCATTGTTGCTGTTGTTAAGTACCATCAAGTCAATTCTGACCAACAGCGACCCTGTATAGGGTTTCCAAGGAACAGCTGGTGAGCTTGAACCAATGACCTTGTAGTTCAGATGGTTTTACAATCTGGCGCATCAACCCACAGCGCCAACCAGGACTCCCAATTATTGTCACAGAATGGCTAAAACTACTAAACATCAAAGTTAGCTAAAAGCTTTAAAAGAGGGGATTAAAGATTGGTTGCTTAAAAAATGGAATAGTCATGTAATCTAATATTATGAGCTCATTAAATTAACATCATAAAACAAAATAGCCACTGTCTACAATATATACACAATGGTAAGTATGAAAAGATTAGAAAATGTATATGGTGATTTCAGAAGACACCACGTATGTGTCAGAGTAAGCTAGATGTCACCAATATCCATTCTCTTTTTTTCCGAGTGCAATAACCCCAATTTAATTCAGGAGAGTGATACAGCCATTTCAAAGGCCTTATTTTCCAGATAGATAACTCATAGCTGTATGTGGCCACTGAGAAATAAGCAGACATATGTATGACTTAAAAGTACCATGGACTGCCAAAACAACCACCCAGTCTGGGTTGGAAGTAGTACAGCCAGAATGCTCCTTGGAGGCCAAGATGGCCAGACTTTATCTCTCATACGTCGGACCTATTATCAGGAGGGACCAGCTCCTGGAGAAGGATATCAGGCTTGGTAAAGTGGAGGGTCAGAGAAAAAGAGGAAGACCCCCAACAAGGTCTGTACAATGGTAGCAGCAATGGGCTCAAATGCAGCACCGACTGTGAGGTTGGCCCAGGACCGGGCAGTGTTTCATTTTGTTGTGCATAGGGTCGCTATAAGTTGGTACTGACTCGTGGCACTTAACAACAACGTGTGACTTCTGGTAGGCTTTTTAAGGGAAAAAGGGTCTAAGAGATGCCCTTCTGCTCTTCTGCCTTTCCTCCTTTCTACTATCTGGAAAGCAAGTGTCATGTTTGGAGCTCCATCAGCTGTCTTGGACCATGAAGAAAATTTCGGGAAAAATGTCCTGGTTAGAATGGTGAAGCTTAGCTGAAAGATAAAAGGAGTCTAGGTCCCCAATCGCACCATGCCACCACTATACTCTTAAGAGAGAAAGAATTCTCTTTTATATAAGCCATTAAATAAAGCAGAAGGTTCACAGGAAATAACTGGAAAGGTATACTGATGCCTGACTGTGAAGTACTCTGGGTATGAAATTGGACTGATTGATACAATGCAGAGTAATAAAAGTTTCAATGATGGGGAGAGACAGATCACCATGGTGATAGAGAGGAAAATATGGCGATGATGCTCCATTTCCTCTTCCTTCATATTTTGATGTGTCATACCAACTGCCTGAGGTGGATCAGGAATGCCATCAATGACTGGATATGCTATTTCCAATTCTCCATTAATCATCTGTTGGTACTTCGTGCTGAGCGGTTACTTGCAAAGCTAGCACATCAGGAACTCCAGCAGCACCAGCACAAGGTGTAGAGTAGCCCCTCCCGCCCTGCCCTCCTGCTCTGGTCCAATGAGGATCATGGCATGACACAGCAGACAGTTGTGCATGTGTCCCCCACAGCGCTGAGATGAGCCTGTCACATGCTCCACTCAGCATGGTATGGCAGCCAGCAACCTCACCTCACAACACCCTCTCGACATTTATAAAAAATTTTGTCTTTCAGATTTCTAATTAAAAAAAAAAAAAAAAGTCTGTAAGTATACATTTATTCCCAAGACAGTGCCTGGACATATAACTATCAATAGAAATAATGATACAAAGGTACAGATGTAGATCTAGAGCTCAACAGCCAAAGGAGACTTAAGCTTCAGAGAATGTCTTACTTTAACCATAGATTACATAACAAAACTTTTACACAAACTCATCAATCTTACAGTCTGCTGTGCTTTACTAAACACTATTTAGTATGAAGAAGTGTTTTGATCTCTTGCATAATAATAGAATAGAATGTTGTTGTTACTGTTAATTGCCATTGAGTTGGTTCCGATTCATAGAGACCCTGTATAGGGTTTCTGAGGCTATAAATCTTTATAGGAGCAGAAAGCTTCATCTTTCTTCTTCCGAGTGGGCTGGTGGACTCAAACAGATGACTTTGTGCCTAGTAGTCCAGTGTTTTACTACAGAACCACAGTGCTCCCCAGTAGGATATACTGTTTCATATGAGAATATATAAATACTTAACTCAGTAGAATACTTACATAGTGGAATCCCTTTCTTGAGTCAAGCCTGTCTCATGTGAAACTGAAGCAGCAGGAGGGGACCGAGGATATAATCTATAACCTTCACTTGGAGTGATTATCTGCCTACCAAGAATCCTACAAAATGAGGAGACACAATTAAGCACTTTTATTTGGCAACTGCATACAAAATCTAGGTATTTCGGAACAAACTTCATAGTTCTATACAGAAGTCCAGTACATACTTTGTTTGATATTGATGAGTAACGATTCTTAAGAGAAAATGTGAACTAAAGAGTTCCAAAGAGAAGCTACCTCACAGTCTCTGTTTACTTTCAAGTAGAGTATACATAAGAATTTACTTCTAGAAAACAAGTACATTTTCTCAACCCTCTCAACTTCAGGCATAAACATTTTACTCTATTAGGAAGATATACTGGTAGTTCAGAAAAGTCCAACAAGCTTCTACCAACTTGAGTTTTTTCTCAGCTGATGAGCTTATTTACATTCATTAAAAATATGTTATCAAGTCTCCATTTCAGTGAGTTCTGTATCTGGGGATTCAGCCAGCTGTAGATTGAAACATTGAGGGGTGGAGGGAAAAAGCATTAAGTGACCAAAGCAATCCCTCAAAGACTAAAAGGATGTGTCAAGTGCTCCTTACATAGCATTTATGTTGTAGTAGTATAAAGAATCCAGAGATGATATAAAGTACAGGGGTTATATGCAAACACTATGCCATTTTGTATAAGGGATTTGAGCATCCTCTCACTTTGGTATCTGACAGGGGCCTGAAAACAGTCTCCCACAGGATGACTGTATGAGATTTTTGGAAATCCACTTGATCTCCATAAATACAAGCCAATTCTGCGGCTCCAGTACCTGAGGTGAGGAAAGCGAGATGTCCACTGTTGGCACTCTTCTTGGAGACTCTTTGTATGCACACTCACCTTCTTCTCATACAAGAGCTCATCAATGGCTGTGAACATTGCTTGGACCTTTTCAGTGGCATTCTGATCAAGTTCCTAGAAAGAAATATCCCCCCAAATGTTTAGGTGGGCTTCTAGCTCTGTTAAAAATTATAAAAGTTGAAAACAACTAGATTTTGTTTTATTTTTAATATTACATCAGTTCAAAATACTGTTCTAGTTTTCAAGAATGAAAAGTTACATTAGTGAGTTCTTAGAGTTCAAAGAATTTTCAAATGTCCTTTCTATTCATATTTAAAGAAAAGTTATTTCATTTTTTAAAGGAACATTTTTTCATCATATAAATAAATTTATTGCATTGGAAAAATATTTTAAATGACCTATGATCGTATCACACAACGATGATTAGTACATTTTACCAAACTTGTTTGGCTCTAGTATTTTTTTAATAAGCATAAAGTAGATCGATAATTCTGTATATATTACTTTGTATTGTGTAGTTTTCACCTGCCAATTGATTTTACGTTATTCTTCCCTCCTGCCTTCCCTCCTATAAGAGCAGCCAAAGAAATGATTTATATAATGCACAGCTGGCTGGAATTTCTCTCTACTTAAAAAGGTGCAACAGGGTTGTATTCTTTCACCATATTTATTCAGTGTATATGCTGAGCAAATAATCCGAGAAGTTGGATTATTTGAAGAAAAATGTGGCATCAGGATGGAAAGAAGACTCATTAACAACCTGCGATATGCAGATGATACAACCTTGCTTGCTGAAAGTGAAGAGGACTTAGAATACTTACTGATGAAGATCAAAGAGCACAGCCTTCGGTATGAATTGCATCTCAATGTAAAGAAAACAAAAATCCTTACCACTGGACCAATAAACAACATTCTTATCAATGGAGAAAAGATTGAAGTTGTCAAGGACTT